AATATACGCGAAGCGACATCGAGCAGTAACATTGCGCCGGGACACAGTCATCCTGTCATGGCAGCCATCATTGCGCTGCGCCGTGTAAACATCAGATGGTACGAAACAAGAGAGCAGAGCTCAGAAGCTTCGCTCCTATCCTTTCCTGGATCTTGGGCTCCTAGGCACTAGACCCTCACCCTGCGACTTCATCTTCTCCATCGCCTGCTGAACTTGATGCTGCCGCTTTGAAACGTGCTCGTGTCGCTTCTCAACTTCTGCCTCAAACTCCTGCGCTAGCTTGCGTTTCTTTTGCCTTGCCTCCTTTGTGCGCCGAATGATGTCTTGGAATCGATCGAGGAACCAGTCGCCAGCATCCTCCCATTCGGTTGTGGGCAGTGATTGGAAGAACTCGGATTGCTGAACGGCATCTGGGTTCTGCTGTACTAACTCTAGACGCTCGACCAGAGGCTTCTGAAGATCCTCCTTTGAGAGCACAGACGGCCGGGCACGGGGATCAGTATCGAAGCTTTCGTTCCTAAGCTGCTCGTAACTCATCCCGAACAGCGTCGTGTGGTCGTAGTCTTCATGGGAGACAACCTCAGGCTCCTCGATCGGCGCTTGTTCGACCGATTGCTGCTGCGCGACGGGTTCATGTATAGCCGGTACTAGAGGCTGGCGCTTTTGAGGCGCATGAGGCTCACTGGGCATGGCATTGTTCCTGGGTGGGGGCTGCGTCCTGGGGCCAGAAGACTGTCGAACAAGGTGTTGCTGAGATTTGCTGGGCTGTACCTGGGTACTAGGATGAGGACCCGAATACATCGGCAGGTTGGCAGCGCTATTATGCTTGTCCGGATTATAGGCTTGGTGTTGACTGGTGGGAAGGGCGAGGGCGTGATGCTGAACATTTTGACCTCCAGCCTGCCGGGAAGGCGCGGCAGTGCGAGACTGCTCGCGGAGCTGCGCACTATGCTGAAACAAACCCGATGCCTGCTGCGTATCCTGGCTGGCAATTGGCATGTTTCGCCGTTGCTGTTGTTGCGGGACATGGGACGCCGGCATGCGTGCAGCTTGCTTGTTTATGTTCTGACGTTGAGGCGGAGGGGAACTGGGAACAAACTCGTTTTGGTAGTTGGAGAGTGCTTCCGGCCCGCCTTCCCACTCGGATGGCTCACCATTGGTAGTCGGGGGATACGAGTCGCCTCGGACTGTTGGGAGTCCACCGCGCCCTGCCTGATGCAAAAAGGCGACTTGCTCATCGTAAGTAAGATGTGCTACTCCGCTCGCATGAATGAATTCTTGGTTCATTTGCACCATTTCGTCGTCATAATCTTCAGATCCGTCTTCCATATCCTCTAGCTCGTCTCCATTGTCATCGTCTTCTCCCTCCATCTCCGAAGTGCCACCAAGATTGACGACATGATCTTGCTGTTGGTAGTGCTGCTCTTTCTGTTGACTATCTTCGACCTGTACGACAGATGGGTTCACAGTAGTGTCAAGACTCTCTGCATCAGTGTCGTAGAGATCACGCTTCTGACTTAGACCCGGACCTGATTGTCGATTTTGGAGGGGCGGCTGTAAGACGGCGGAGCTGTTCTGGGTAATGTTGAGTCCGCGCGCCGGAATACCAGAAGTCGCTTGAGGTTGCTGAACGGGATGTCCGTTTCTTATTGATACCCTCGCGTTGGCTGCATTGGCTTGGCGGTCGGGCTTGCTTTGAGGCTGACCAGCGGCAGGACTGCCGGTTCTCTGACGAGCGACAAAGCCTTGCATCGTGGGTAAAGAGAGAGCCACACTCACTCTATTACCTAGATATTTGTCGACGATCAGGTGAAGTTGAGGTTTGCGAGGTGAGTTGAGAAAGTGAGTGCTGAGGCTTGAATGGGAAAGCGCGTCTCTGATGATGCTCTAACTTCATCCGGACAAGCCTCGGCCCCGCCAAAGTGAGCCTAGCACCGCGATGACGATATCTTATCTCCGAGTCGTGGTGTTGCTCCCTTCGCCCATGTGTGTAGACTCGTGCCCCACGAGGTTTGACATTCTACGTTGCAACCTGATATACATACAACCGCATCTCACATCATGGGTGAATGCTATCTCTACAGGCTCCCCAATGAGGCACGCTTTCCTGTCACATCCGTATCGCGTCCAACTTGCTAACCATCGTAGTTACTTCTCCATCTCCTTACGCCCATACCAACGCCCGAACTCCTACAATTGACCACGATATCGCATCGCATATACACGCTCATCCTACGTATCCTCCATAATCGGCTCACTGCAGCTGCCGAGCTACATTCGCACTCGGTGCTTCTCGAATGTTTCCACCCCTCTGCGAAGCTCACCGAGCCCCCGTACTTCTGTACATACCGATGCACCGATGGCTTGAAGAGTTACGATGATTACAACTCTGCTACAAAGGAGGTTGGCAGACTAGCCGAATACAACAACATGTACTCGCGCTTCAAGCCCCATAGGCGCGGTTTGGAAGCGGATGGCAGGAGAGTGAAGCGCCGACCTGGAGACGTACCTGGCAGTCGCACCTTTCCGGGGGCAGTACAGGAGAGATACGAAGGCGAGACCGTGAGACAGACACTTGGATTGGAGGCGCATGAATTGTTCACGCAGCTGGTTGCGCAGACGAATCTTGTCAAAATCGGTTCTCACAATCTCTTCACCAACTTTGTTGACATTGAGGAAGGTGTACTCCGAGTGTGGAGAGATTGGCTGCGAGACATTGCGGCGAGGGGCTTGACGGCGAATACAGAGGTGCCAAATGAGGTTGTTGAGGAGGTAGGTAAGGGCAAAGAGATCGTAAGAGAGGTAGAGGAAGAGAAAGCGGACTTGGACGACCCGCGGATCCTCTGGGTCAGTCCGAGGAAGGACAGCGGTGTACGCTTCAATGTAAGGGAACGGAAGCTTCGGAGAGACGCTCCGATCCTCGTCAGCACAGATGAGGATATGCCAGTTACATACGAAATTGAGTACGACGGTAAGTCAATGCATCCTCCTTGGTGTTGCAACGCCTGCTGATGTCCGGTAGAGCTCCTCATAAGAACGTCGCATCTCCTCTTAATGCTCGAAAGGTCCATGTTGCAGGAGGATAATTCATCTGGTAAAGCGGTTGTCTTCGGATCTTTCGGATAATTCAAGCAGTTCAAAAAAATGCACGCCAATTTCAGAAGAGTCATGGCCTAGTTAGGTCCAGATCCTCGGTTCTTGGTGGAGTCACCCTCCTTGGCGCAATCGGTCAACCACAACGCCCTAGGGCATCAACGCATCCCCTCCCACCCAACGGCAAAAAACATACATTGTCCTGAGCACCCAGACGTCGTACAAGCTGACCTCGAGGCGATTCGAACGCCTAACCTTCAGGAGGTTCCAGGAGAACTGGAATCTGACGCGCTACCATTGCGCCACGTGGCCTGATTGGATGGGAAAAATTGATTCATACATGCATATTATACGCAGCGTCTTACTCCCTACACAGCAACTTTGATGAGATAGTCTGCTAATCGCAATGGCATCATACTAGTTCCAAGTCTAGTCATCCAGTCCGATCCGCTGTCAGAAAGGCCACGTCTTCAATTCCAACGATCTGTATACGCTAATCCTACAACGTTCCTAGCATTACGCAACGGCTTTCTACCCCACTATTCCTATTCCCTAGCCCAGATGCATCTAAAAGATCTAGACTTAGATGGTATCTTGAGTCAACCGCCTATACAACAGCTCTATTCTACAGCCGCCCCACCAGCAAAAGCCTTGTGCCGCCATGCCACACGCACAGGAGACATTTTGTAGCTGCTTCATCGTACCCAGAGTCGAATTAGTGACGTTTCAGTTCGATCACAATTGCTATCACAGTCGATTATAGTACTGAAAATTTGTCAGGAGAGCGATAGTCTTGTAGCCTAGAATATTCACTAACCAGCCACTCCATGCGGCGTAAGCCAGATGAATTAGGTATGCATTTCGATAACAAAATTGTGCAGGGCGCCTTCACAATAACGGATTGTAAATACATCAAGAAGAGGTTAAGAAGCAAAGATTGTAGTAGGAAACAGTTCGTAACACAGCGAAAACTAAGTAACAGGAACCGGGAGGTTCAGATGAAATTAAGAAGGAATTCCAGCGGTCTGATAACAGCGTCTCTTATTGTGTACCAAATTTTGTGCAACTTCAAGGCTAACACCTCTACAGAACTAGCAGTCACTCTTGCCTGGCATAGCGCAGCTGACGCTTTTATACTGTCTACTCTGCTACTACACCCATCAGCAAACATAACGCCCGCCAACGCTCATTTGCCTTACTTAGAGGTAGCATCTACAGCAACAGCAGAGCTATCTGTTGCGGCTACAGAAGCCTAGCAACTAATTCCGCATTTGCTGCTACTGACGATGTACCATGTGCGACTACCGCCCGCCTGCCTCCGATGCAGCTTCTTCAGCTGCCGCATCTGCCGCCATTACTGCTACCACCGAGCTATTAGACGCAACCACCGCCCGCCTGCCTCCAATGTAGCTTCCTCAACTGCCGCAATAGCTGCTACTAGGGAGGTACCAGATGCAGCAACTGCCCACCTGCCTTTATCCCAGCTTCCTCAGGTGCCGCAACGGCTGCTACTGGGTAGGTACCAGATGCAACTACCGCCCGCCCGCCTTCATCCCAGCTTCCTCAGGTGCCACATCTGCTACTACCAGCGAGCTTTCCCCTTTGCTACCAACACCTACTAGTTGGAACTGCGGCCGCTCGCTCATCTCCTGTCCAGCTTTCCTCTTTGCTACCGGCACCCACCAGTTGCAATTGCGGCCGCTCGCTCATCTCCTGTCTAGCTTTCGCCTTTGCTACCAGCACCTATTCGTTGCAACTACGGCCGCTCGCCTGCTATTGCCCCAGCTTTCGCCTTTGCTACCGGCACCTATCAAGCGTAACCGCGGCCGCTCGCTCCTGCTATCACCCCAGCTTTCGGCTTTGCTACCGGCACCTATCAGACGCTACTGCGGCCGCTCGCTCCTGCTATGCAGGCTTCAACTCGGCCACGGTTAGCTCGAACAGCGAAGAAGGCACTCTCTGCGGACATCCTGAGATATCTAGACCCCCTGGATCAGAACGAAGACCAGGATCAGAATGAAGACCAGGATAGGGAGCGTACACGGTACAAGCAACATGGTACTAAGAAGCGCAGGTTGGCCATAATCCAAGAGGAGGACAATTCAGGAGATGAGTTTGATTCGCAAGAGGAGCATAAGACGCAAGAGGAACATGAGAAGCAAGAGGAACATGAGACGCAAAAGGAGGATGAATTATGGGAGGACCGCCGGAAGAGACCTAGGAAGCGGCGTCTTTTCAGGGACCACCAGCCTCTTCAGGTCCAGACGGCTGCCCAGGAGACAGAGCAGGACGAACCCGACGTGAATGGCTTCCACCGATCAGACTTCGAAGACGAGACCGATCCGCAGACCATCGCCGATGAGCGACGTGCATGGTTATCTGTTTACGTCCCTTTCTCCGACGATGCCTTATTTGACTTCACCCTGACTAGCGACGATGTTGTGCGCATGGTCGAAACCGCCTACCCTGTACTCTCAGCATCTAACCAAAGGATAAAAATCTTTTGGGACTCGGTAAGTTCTGTCTGTACGAAACGCATGTGAAAGATATACTGACTTTGTACTTCTGCAGGTCAACCAGCACCTCGAGAGCTCACCGCCCTTCCGCATACCCGTTCGAGAGATGAATCCGCATACTTGGCCCTTGACAAATCCTGTTGTTGACAGCCTGTGGAAAGACGGAGCCGCTGCGGAGGTCGCGCTTGACATCCCAGACGTCTATGGAACCATTATTGTGGCGGAGCCTGCATATGGTCACTTCTTCCACTGGTATATCCTTGGCTCTCTGGTCTTTGAGATGGACGAAGCCTTTCCTCCCAGAGCCTCAGAAGTCATTAGGATGTAGATGATGATGTAGCCAGCAAAATTCCGCTTAGCGTCGTCCCTATGATAGTTCGTTAGGGCATCTGATGGCTTTACATTACTAGCTGCCCTAACTTTCATGATCGCCTTTCGTTGCTTCTCGTCAATGCCTGATGTCCTCTCTAGGGTTTTGTCTAAGAAGACCGTGTCCAGTGTAGGCCGCTTAAAATGATTGCTAAGGGTGTCGTTCTTCTTTACGTCGAAATTCCGGAAAGCCGACATCTCAAGAATGCTGCCAGTACTCAACCGATAGGCTTACCCTGTTGTTGAGAGGAATCAGGGGAGTTGAAGTTTACCGAAAAGCTTGACAAGGCAGTAGTCAAATATCCGCTCACGGAATGCAAACTCCCTTTGGATGTCCGTTAGGACAGACGCGCGGTTCCTCGAAAAAGCTTCTGGATGTGGAATCGCGAAGGCCAGGCGCCTTATCTTCCCAGCCTCGAACTGCAGCCAAGCTAACGGGATCTCCTGCTCGAATCGTTTCTTTCTGAATGTCCATAGAACCTTATGCTCGATCTCATTCTCTTTGATGTAGATCATGTATGCCCTGGCCGCAACCGTGCCCATGACCAACAGGATTTTGGACGTGGACATTCGGATGAACACCTGGGCGGCAGTGGCCCAGTATTATCGAAGATCGGCAGGAAGCTGGCGGAGGAGACTGAGGGAGCTGTCACCCCCAGGCACGGTCTTGCGATTCAACCGCCGGGGAAAAACGTCCACATGAAACATCGAATGCTCCCTGATATCAGCGACGTGGAAACCCATCTTTGAGTACAAAAGCCACATGGACTGGTTGGACATATCGTCGTTGGTCCCATAAGCCAAGTGCACAGTGGAGTTGACGTCAGCAGTCGGATAGGAGGACAACACCATGAGAGAGTCGTCGGGGCTCCCACAGGGTTTGACTAACAACCTCTCTGACATATCAAGCCATGCAAAGTCATCCGTGGAGTCGACCTGGTCAGGAGGGTGAAGGGCTTTCTCCGCATCGGTAGCTTGGCCCCAATGTGCATCCATTGACGCGTTTGTGTGTGGCCATGTTGTTGGATGCTTCTCGCGCACTGAGATGGTGAGCGGCGGCGATTTAGGCAGGTGGTCACGAGCTGACTGGTAGAAGTCCGCCATGGCACTGGTTGCAAGGGCGGGATAGCCGCGTTCTACCATCCTTACGACCTCCTCGCTGGTCAGCGTGGTATCCGTCAATTCTTGGTCTGTAAAGGGTAAGTAAACCCATAGCTCCCGTTCCGCTCTGGCAGCTTCTGGGTCTTCAGCAACGGCATCGTCGATGACGGGTGGCTCTGCTCCAGCATTATAGACATCCCATCCACATAGTTCATTGCTTGGGCGCTGTGTTTCCCTGGAGTCTTCTGCATCCGAACTAACTGTAGCCTTAGCTAACCTCTTTCTTTTGCCCTGCGTAACCATAGCTCTGGTAGCTCTGGCGACGGGCAAGTAGGATGCGCAGGTACGACTGGGGAGTAAGGCGGTTTGGACCGAGGCCGATGTGACAATACATAGCAGCTTCAACCGGGTCAGTTGCTGCGGCAGCTGATGAAGACGCAGGCGGCGGCGGCTTGGACTGAGGCAGATGTAAGTAAAGACAGCAGCTTCGACTGGTGCGGTACAGCATTGACAACGGCAGACGTGGGTGCACGATATTAGTGTAAGCATAGCTGCTATTCTTCTTTTTATTCCAACGATGACTGAAATGAAAAGTCCCACCATGACATGGCTGATGAATCGGTGATGGATAGCCGTGGGTATCTAAACGTGAAATGACCTGGACGCAGCGTAATAGCCATGCGTCGTATGTCGTATGGTGTTATCCTGATGCCTAAACGCCGAAAATTCCATATGCAAAATCTCCCTCCCTCATCCCATAATTGCTCCGTTATGCAACGCGTTTTGGCTTACTAACAGACCTTTGCCGATCCGCCTACCACCAACGCCGTAGATATCTCATCCAGAAGACCAAGTCGAGCCCTGACATGTCGAATTTGACAATGCAGGAAACGTTTGACTCGCTAGTTATCTTGAGCGGTCTCAATCTGGGCATATTCCTGCCAGTGGCCATCAGCGGCCTTCTTCCAGGTACGAATGCTAGCGTCATCTCCAGTAGTGACGAGAAGATCACCTGTGATAATTGTTAGTTGTGAGGTGCATGTTCGTCCGGTGTGACTTACCCATCTGCGAGAACGCGACACGCCAAACCGCTCCGTGATGATTGGTAAGCTCATCGGTCATCTCTACCTTCTGCTTGATGCGACCAGGATACTGCTCGTTCTCAATCGAAGTGTCGGGGGCCTTGGAAGCTCCAGCCAGTCCAGCTCCAATACCAGATGGGGCGTTCTGTCGATGGCCTCGCGGAGAGACTGAAAGCGGAGCGGAAGACGACGCTTCTCCAGATGCAGCGTTCCTATCTTCGGTCTGTGTTCGAAGCTCATAGATGCGAATAGCGCCGTCTTTGCTAGCTGTGGCCAAGATGTCGTAACCTCGCATAGAACCATTTGCCCAGGCTAGGTCTCGGATGATCTGACGAGCACCCTCCAGCTTCGCAACTTGGAAGAAGCGCTTGGCCTTGTCGGTGCGGAAGACGAGGACGTCTTTCATGGCAGCAACAGCGAGGGATAGCGACTTGCGGTCAAGGCCAGCGGTGATGGCGGTCCAACAGGGTAGCTTCTCTTTGTGAAAGACGACCTTGAAGCCTACCTCCTCTTGGCGCTCGGGAGGGTTGTTCTCGGAGACCCAGCGCTCTGCCAGGATAGTCCATTCATGGAGGTTGTTCTGATCCTGGGGCTCATAGACAGTGAGATAGCCGTCGCGGGTGATGAGCGCGAGCCAGGTCTCCTGCATGATGTTCTTGAAGTCCAAAGACATGAACGGCGCGTTGGTCAACGAAGGGAGTACGTAGACCAGCTTGAAGCGGTTGCCAGACATGGCCACCTCGGTGACGTCCTCTTGCCAGATCTTGCAGCGACCATCTTCACCAATACTACCAACAACCTCGCCCATGAAGGGGCCGTTCCACTTGACCTGTACATGAAGTTAGCGACGGGTCACAAAGGTGGCAAAATGGCATGCAGGTGACCGAAAGAAGATTTGCGGCTGAAGATTAGATAACTTACATCGACAATCTCGGCATCGTGAGCTTTCCAGCTCTCGACCAGGGTCCACGAATCGTCCTTCTTGTCCCAGACCTTGACGCGGTGATCTGAGCTTGCCGTGACCATGCGCGTGCCGAAGTAGTTGAAGTCGACAGCGAGTACGAGGTCCTGGTGGCCATGCGAGAAGGTCTGGAAGCTTCGCTCTGCAGCCATCTCAGCGTAGGCGCGATGCGCACACACAAAGGCCACCTCTAGTTGGTCGATGACGCGCTGCTCGACGCTGCCGGTGCTGCCGTCGGCGCAAGGCTCCTGAATCAGGGGAGCGATTAGATCCACGTGCTCGATCTCGTCTTCGAAAGCGGCGGCGATATTGAGATGCGGTCTCCGTGCAGGCGACCGTGCTTCCTCCTTGGTGGGGCCCAGCGAGGACGAATCGCTGACTGCAGCAGAGGGCAGACGCGACGCTGTCAAGTGCTGGAGGAAACTTCGCGACGCGAGATGACTGCTCACCGCATTCAGACCGTCCAGGAGCTCATCAGCCTTGGCCGAGCGGCTGGCTTGGTTGTGGTCCGCCATGTTGATGCCAATGTTCGTGGGTCTATCGTTTCGGGTTAGCAGAGCAGGAAGAAGCCGAAACAACACCTTGCCAGAATCTCTACTCACCAAACACCGCAACCACGACCTCGTGCAGATTGTGCTGCTCTGTTCGTCTCTCGCTCACTCTGCGAGCTTGTTGGTTTCGTTGCTGGAGTCGTGGATCTGTTCACAATCTTTATCTGTCAGTCTCAAGTCCACTTCGAACGATTCACGCAAAGTCACGCTCCGGGTTCAGACAAAGAGGTGGCGATTCGGCAAAACGGCAGGTCGTGACGGTGTTGCTGTGGGGAGGTTGCGCAACCGTTGTTGATATCGTCGCGACAGCAAACGGCCGGGCGGAGTCAACAGCTACAGGCGTCCACGTGCCAAGATCCGCCGTCACCTCGACATCAGACACTATCACTGTCACCATGGCGAGCGCGCTGTCATCAACAGAATCACTTTCACTGCTCTCCTTGTCGCTCGCATGTGTCGGTGTGCTGGCCAACACGCTTCACGGTGACGGTGAGCCGCTTGTTGCGTCGATAGCGCTCAGTGGTCTGGCTTTTGCATTCTGTTATGCTTTGATACGATGGCTTGGAGATGCCTTTGCGAAGCAGGGCTTCAAAGGGAAGGATCTATGTAAGCTGAAGCAGATTGAAATGTAAGTGTCAAGTACTGCACATGATGATAATCGACTAATGACGACAGCCCAGAGATGATGGGCGCGGTGTGTGCTATGGTGTACCTTTTCATCTTGATCTTTTTCATACCATGGCCGTTTTACAAGGACATTGTAGTCGCAACATCAGGCGGCGGTAACCGGGACACGATCAAGGAACTGGAGCTGATCGAGACCGGGAGGCTACTACACAGATTTCCTCACAACAAGCTTGCGTCCTATCTGTCCGCCATACTTTCTCTCCAGTCGATCGTACTGCTCGGTATTGGTGACGACCTATTCGACATAAGATGGCGACACAAGGTGCTCATTCCAGCCTTTGCAGTTATTCCCATGCTCGTGGTCTACTTTGTCGACTTTGGTGTCACGCAGATGGTCGTCCCACTACCACTCAGGCCTTACCTTGGCGAGCTCTTTGACCTGGGTATGTACTTGCATTGAGAGCTGTTTCTGAATTGCCCATTAACGTACGTTCAGGCTGGCTTTACTACGTCTACATGGCGCTGATGTCCATCTTCTCCTCGAATAGCATTAACATCTTGGCGGGCATCAACGGCATCGAGGTGGCCCAGTCTATAGTCATTGCAGTCCTGATTGTCGGCAATGATATGCTGTATCTCTCACCATTTACGACGTACCCACATCCAGCGACGGATTCGCATCTGTTTTCGCTGTATCTGCTGCTACCGTTTATCGGTGTCTCGATGGCCTTACTGATGCACAACTGGTATCCAGCAAAGGTGTTTGTGGGCGACACTTACTGTTACTTTGCAGGCATGGTCTTCGCCGTAGTAGCCATCCTCGGTCACTTCAGCAAAACGCTCATGTTGCTACTCCTACCGCAAGCGTTCAACTTTGTCTACTCGGCACCCCAACTGTTCCACATCGTACCATGTCCCCGACATCGGCTTCCGCACTTCAACGCACGGACAGGTTTACTGGAGCCCTCGCGCGTCGAATTCACCAAACCACTACGACGACCGATAGCGGAGAGCCTCAAGGTGCTGCACCGGCTTCGGATGCTCGATGTTGAGACGGATGGGAAAGGGCAGGTGGTCTCGTCGAGCAACTTTACACTAATCAACTTGTGGTTAGTATGGTTCGGTCCCATGCGGGAGGACCGCTTAGCTATGGGTTTGCTCGCGTTCCAGTTCGCGATTGGACTTGTAGGACTATTCGTGCGGCATCGTATGGCATTGCTTATCTTTACAGCGGACAACTTGTAGATGTGTGGGTAGGCATATAGACCGGTGGGTGTACTATAGTATCGTGGAACATGTAGATTACTGGGAGGATGGCTGGAGCGCATATGCTACAAGGGACCTGCCGGGAGTTTCGGCGTATTGTATTCACCCCGCGTTGATAGAAGCGATACTGGGTGGGAATAGCGATACAGTCGAAGGATCGCGGTCGGACGAGGTAGCTCGCTTGCTTATCAACGGCTATTGTTTTCTTCTTCAAACACAGCAAATTGCTTCTGCACTTGAGCTACTGTCATGTCCATTCCAGCCTCACGGAGCGTGGGTGAACATGTGGGCTGGCCAGGGCCTCGTCAGCTGTCGTCGCAACATGCTCGTCCAGTGTCAAATCGGAACGTTGGTAGACTTGCTGACGCTGCAGACGGCGGCCGGGAGGCGGTGCAGTGGGGCAGGCGCAGTGCGGGGCAGGAGCGACAGCGACCTCTCGACACGTGAATGTCGTCATTGGTTGCGGAAACAGTACCTAGAGGAGCGCTCGCAGCGCCAGAGGCGATGCGCGACAAGGTTGCCTGCATGTTATATCGCTCAAGAGCGCTATCACCGCCTGGCACCTACCAGATGTGAAGTATCGCAGCCCGACAGCGGTGGAGGCCGAGGCGGACCGTCATCATTCGCGGCGTGATTGGCGGCTGTGCCCCTCTTACCATCGACTCCGAACATCGGCCGGCATCTTTTTGTGCCTCGTTCGCCTTCCATGGATTTGAGTTCCACACGCGCCTCATTTAAGCCGATACCTGCCCTGGCCGAGCACGTCTCACTTTCTTGATCTCCAACTCTATTTTCCTGCACCTACTTTGGACTTGT